TTCAGGTGGCAGAACAACACAAACAACTAAATGTCAGGGATATAAATGGCTGAGTGTTGGAAATACAGGTGGCTGATCATCAGAAATACAAGCGGCTGAGTGTCAAGGATACAAGCGGCTGAGCAGTGAGCAGAGAAGCAGCTGAGTGTTGGAGGCTATGGACAGATGTGGTAACTTCAGATGGTGCTCCTTTGAAGAAAGTGCCTGGCTGGAGATGGCCTAGCTTCAGGGAAAGATCACCTTCTTCCCACACTGTTCCCTTTCCAACTCTCCATCCTGCTGAGAACCACTTCCATCTTGCAGTAAAATCCGCTGCATATACTACCCTTTAATCTGTTCGTGTGACCTGATTATTCCTGGATGCCAGACAAGAACCTGGTTGCCAAGAGGAGAGGGCAGGGGCTGCCACCCTGACCCCCCACTGAGCTGGTTGGCACTTGGCCATCCCCGAACGGCAGAGTTGAAGGAGCATTAGTTGTAACACGCTTGGACACTGCTGCAGGGCCCGCACAGAAGCTGCTCCCGCCAGAGAGGAGCAAAGGTTGCTCTCGTTCCCACGCTCGCTCCCTGCCTCTTGCAAGGGGTTTGAGTGGGTGGTTGGTTGCCTTGCCAAGTAAACAAGCTACACCCAGAGCCATGAGGGCATCAAGGGAATTATCCTGTCTCATCTTAACCTGACTTCCCTCTTCACAGTTTTACTTTCGTAAAACCCTTGATGAACGTCCCATTGCCAGCTCAGCGTCTTTTTAGCGCTGACCCTGCCAGACTGTTGATGACACCTCTTTGATTTGTGCTCTTTTGGCTTCCATGTTATATTGATTCCTGAGTTTTCTTCCCTTTCCTTTATTCTCAGTCTCTTGCTGGTTTTCTCCCATCACCTGCCACTTATGGGTTATTTACACTTCTCCCTTTGGTCATCTTTTCACTGTAATTTTCCATCCACAGCTATTTCATTCATTTCTGAGACCTGAGATTTTATCCATTTCTGAGGCTGTAGAGACCAGTGACTTCCTGTGACTCTTCTGAGCTTGAAATTCCTATTGGTAACTGGCATTGGACCTAACTGCCTGTTTATCTCTCTAAAGCATTTCTGTCTTCCAGCCTGCTTATCTTGTGTTCCTTATCTCTACCAATACCATTACCACCTACCTAGTTCTTTATGCTGGATACCTCATTCATTGCCACTCAGTCAAGTTTCCTAAAAATGAAACATCTGATTGTTATTTCTTCAACCTTACCAATTTTTTTTTTTTTTTTTTGAGCCTCACTTTGTCACCTAGGCTGGAGTGTAGTGGCACAATCTCTGCTCATTGCAGCCTCCATCTCCCAGATTCAGGTGATTCTCTTGCCTCAGTCTCCTGAGTAGCTGGCACTATAGGTTCCTGCCACCACGCCTGGCTAATTTTTATATTTTTAGTAGAGGTGGGGTTTCACCATGTTGGCCAGGCTGATCTTGAACTGACCTCAAGTGATCCACCCATGGTGGCATCCCAAAATGCTGGGATTACAGGCCACTGTGCCTGTCCCACCGTGACAATTTTTATGACTTTATATTGCCTAGGGTGAAGTCTGAAGTCCTTGGTATGGCAGAGTTCTTTAAAACCTGTTTCGAAAACCAGCTTATGAACCTTTTAAGGACAGCCTCTAGATCTTATTAATTTCAGTATTGCCACAGCAGAGTACTTGGAATATAGAATTTTGATAATTACTTGTGGGATGAATATATTTAAAGTGAAATAAGAACCTTCAGCTCACACTGGGTCTGTAGAGCTCCCATGTTTGTCTTGTGAACAGCAAAATAAGAGGTAGTCAAGAACTTGATTTCTGAAGTCAGGCTGGCCTGGGTTTAAACCCTCTCTGTAATACTCACCGGCTGTGGCTGTTTCCTCACCTGAAAAGTGGTGATGATGGGGTGACTGAGAATTAAATGTAAAGCGTATATCACAGTCCCGGGTACACTGTAATCATTTTAAGCTGTTATTAAATGTGCAGTGTTTTTTTGTTGTTTTGTTTTAGACGGTCTGTCTCTGTCGCCTAGGCTGGAGGGAAGTGGCACGATTCAGCTCACTGCAACCTCTGCCTCCCAGGTTCAAGTGATTCTCCTGCCTCAGCCTTCCGAGTGGCTGGAATTACAGGCGTGTGTCACCACGCCCAGCTACTTTTTGTATTTTTAGTAGAGACAGTGTTCACCATGTTGGCTGGGCTGGTCGCAAAGTCCTGGCCTCAAGTGATCCACTAGCCTTAGCCTCCCAAAATGCTGGGATTACAGGTGTGAGCCACCGCCCAGCCATCTTGGAGTGTTTTTTAAATGAATAGGAGTAATACTTGTTAGTAATAATTATACCGTGTAGTTGGAAAGGAGGTCCGAGAGAGGCTTGCTTTCAAATGATTTTCCTAACAGAAGCTTAGCTTACTCAAGCTTGTTTTTTGACTCTTAACAGTAATGCTCAATCTACTTTCATCTCCTATGTACTTATCCGGGAGTAGGAGGACCTGGTTTTTTCAGTCATGTATTTTTAATTGTTTTTAGTTTTTTTCTTATTTTAGAGATGAGGTCTTGCTATGTTACCCAGACTGCACTTGAACTCCTTGGGCTCAAGTGATCCCTCTGCCTCAGCCTCTCAAGTAGCTAAGACTACAGGTACATGCCACTGTGCCTGGCAAGTCACCTATTATTTTTATTGTTATTGCTCGTGTTACTTACCTTGCTCTTTACAAAGACAGTACTTGAAGATATGAACAATGACACTGAAAAAAGAAGCGCAACTTTTTTTTTTTTTTCAGACAGGATCTCACTCTGTCACCCAGACTGGAGTGCATTGGTGCAGGCTTAGCTCACTGCAGCCTCCACCTCCTGGGCTCCAGAGGTCTCCCTCCTTCAGCTTCCAGAAAAGCTGGGATTACAGTCACATGCCACCAGGTCCAGCTGATTTTTTTATTTTTTGTGGAGGCGGGGTTTTGTCAGGTTGCCCAGGCTGGCCTTAATCTCCTGAGCTCAAGCCCAAGCGATCCACTTGCCTTGGCTCCCCAAAGTGCTGGGATTACAGGTGTGAGCCACTGCACCTGGCCTGAACTTTAAGAATAGGAAAAGATAAGCCCAGGATAAGGATAAAAGGGTTAGAGGAGAGGGGTCCCAATCCAGTCACTAAGAGAGGATTCTTGGATCTCGAGCATGAAAGAATTCGAGACTAATCTGTAAAGTGAAAGCAAATTTATTAAGAAAGAAAGGAATAAAAGAATGGCTGCTCCATAGGCAGAGCAGTAGCTTGATGGCTGGGTGCAGTGGCTCACACCTGTAATCCCAGCACTTTGGGAGGCTAAGGCTAGTAGATCACTTGAAGCCAGGACTTTGAGACCAGCCTGGCCAACATGGTGAACCCTGTCTCTACTAAAAATACAAAAATTAGCTAGGCGTGGTGGTGTACGCCTATATTCCAGTTGCTTGGAAGGCTGAGGCAAGAGAATCGCTTGAACCTGGGAGGCAGAGGTTGCAGTGAGCTGAGATCGTGCCACTTCTTCCAGCCTGGGTAAGAGATACTTATTGTTACTTCTTTGTGTTTTTTTTGAGACAGGGTCTCACTCTGTCACCCAGGCTTGAGTGCAGAGGCGTGATCTCAGCTCACTGCAAACTCTGCCTCCCGGGTTCAGGCGATTCTCCTGCCTCAGCCTTCAGAGTAGCTGGGATACCAGGAGCGCACCACCATGCCTGGCTAATTTTTTTTCTTTTTTCTTTTTTTTTTTTCCCCCCAGATGGAATTTTTGCTCTCATTGCCCAGGCTGGAATGCAGTGGCACGATCATGGCTCACTGCAACCTCCACTTCCCAGGTTCAAGCCATTCTCATGCCTCAGCCTCCTGAGTAGCTGGTGGGATTACAGGCGTGCACCACAATGCCCGGCTAATTTTGCATTTTTAGTGGATGGGTTTCTCCATGTTGGCCAGGATGGTCTCGAACTCCTGACCTCAGGTGATCTGCCTACCTTGGCCTCCCAAAGCGCTGGGATTTCAGGCGTGAGACACCGTGCCCAGCCAATTTTTTTGTATTTTTAGTAGGGGAGGGGGTCTCACCATGTTGGCCAGGCAGGCTTGTCTTGAACCCCTGACCTCAAGTGACCCACCTTGGCCTCCCAAAGTGCTGGGATTTCAGGCATGAGCCACCACACGAGGCCTATTACTTCTTGATTATATGCTAAACAAGGGGTGGATTATTCATGAGTTTTCTGAGAAAAAGGTGGACAATTACCAGAACTGAGAACGCTTCCCTTTTTTAGACCATATAGGGTAACTTCTGGACATTGCCATGGCATCTGTAAACTGTAATGGTGCTGGTGAGTGTGTCTTTTAGCATGCTAATTATTATAATTAGCATATAGTGAGCAGTGAGGATGACAGAGATCACTCTCATCGCCATCTTGGTTTTGGTGGGTTTTGACCAGCTTTTTTACTGCAGCCTGTTTTATCAGCAAGGCCTTTATGACCTGTGTCTTGTGCTGACCTCCTATTTCATCCTGTAACTAAGAATACTTAACCTCCTGTGAATGTAGCCCAGTAGGTCGCAGCCTTATTTTACCCAGCCCCTCTGACAGAAGGATTTTAAAGTCTTAGTAAGGTAAGGTAAGTTCCTTGCATAACTGGTCTGGAATCACAGTTAAAAAGCTGAATTGAAAAAGGTGTTTGACGCTGCAGCCAATATAAAAGGTTCTATGCAGGTGTCAGTATTTAAGCTACATCTCAAAGGTTAAGCAATTGTATCATGCTGGGATGAACAGAGAGAATTAAGCAAGCCAAGACCCAGGTAAAAGAGAGGACCTGAATTCCTTCAGTGAACAGTGATAAATAATCTAGACTTTTAAACTTCATACTTCTTGTAAATTGTTTTTTTCTTGCATCAGGTTTTTAGAACTCATGCAGTGATGGGCCTATTGTTAATCCCGGGTCTTACTATTACCTTGATTTTGCTGAGAGTCTGATTTACTGAAAAAGTTTTTCTTGTGCTTATAGAATGACAACAGAGAACGGCAGGAGCACAATGACAGGCGGAGAGTTGGCCACCCTGAGCCGTTATCTAATGGACGACCCCAGGGTAACTCGAGGCAGGTGGTGGAACAAGATGAGGAAGAAGACGAGGAGCTGACATTGAAATATGGCGCCAAGCATGTGATCATGCTCTTTGTCCCTGTGACTCTCTGCATGGTGGTGGTAGTGGCTACCATCAAATCAGTCAGCTTTTATACCCGGAAGGATGGGCAGCTGTACGTATGAGTTTTGTTTTATTATTCTCAAAGCCAGTGTGACTTTTCTTTACAGGATGTTATTATCACCTTGAATGCCTCTGCATTGAAGGGGCATGATGGCTAGAGAGTCCATCCTTTCTGATGATCAGGAGCAGTTGAGAGAGCAAGGGGTTATTACTTGATGTTTTAAGTGGTGAAAAGGAACACTGCAGAGGTATGTTTCCTATATGGTATTACTGGATAGAGCTGAAGTTATGCTGAATTGAACATAGAAATTCTTACCCCTCTTGGGGCCATTGGGCCCGTTGCTCTTCTGCCTAGAATGTTTTTTTTTTCTTTCCCCTGCCCCACCAGAATATTCTTTCCTTTTCTAACTTTGGTGGATTAAATTCCTGTCATCCCCCTCCTCTTGGCTTAAATGTTAAATCCTCAAAGATAACATTCTTGTTTCTCCTAACATGATTAGGTCCTTCCTGGTATTCTTTCTCATAGCAACTTGTTCTTCCTCATTTGTCACAATTTACAAATATATATTTATTTACATTACTTAATGCCTGATTTTCTTCTTTTTTGCAAGGTCTGTGAGGGTACTGTGTCTCTAGGGTGAGGTATATAATAAATGGCCAAAAAATCATTAATTGAAAGGATAAATAACTAGACTCTTGGGGTGCTGTCATGTGGATTCCCTGGTGCTGCTGTCAGCCCTTGGCCTCCAAGAAAAATGCTTCCATTCAGATGTCATCCAGTTCCATCTCTAGGGCTCTCATGGGGCCCAAAGAAGAGTTTGTTTTTTTGAGACGGAGTTTCGCTCTGTCACCCAGGCCAGAGTGCAGTGGCATGATCTTGGCTCACTGCAACTTCTCCGTCTTTTGGGTGCAAGCAATTCTCTGCTCAGCCTTCTGAGTATCTGGGATTAAGGGTGTCCGCCACCCCGCCTGGCTAATTTTTTTTTTTTTTTAAGTAGTGATGGGGTTTTACTATGCTGGTCTTGAACTCCTGACCTCTTGATCTACCTGCCTTGGCCTCCCAGAGTGCTGGGATTATAGGCGTGAGCCGCCGCGCCCAGCCCCCAAGAAGAGTTTTAGAATTTGAAATTGTGAAGTGTCTGAAAAACTACATGGTGTTCTGAAAGCCAAACTTTTAGTGTTTTGGGAGAACATCTAAGACAGCAGGTGAAGGGTAGGGGATCAGAGCTGCAGGGATTGAAGAATATTATTCGTATAGGTTAGGGTTAGGTTTGGCAACATTATAGAATAAACATTGGCAAGCTACAGCCACAGGCCAGATCTGCCAGCTACCTTTCCGCAAAGGTGTAGTAACAAAGTTGTTCACAAACTTGTGAATAAACTTTCATTGGAACATGACCATGCTCCTTGGCTTATACATCATCTGTGGCTGCTTCACACTACAATGGCACAGTTGAGTGCTTGCAATGGAGACCATATGACCCACAGAGCTTTAAATATTCACTATGTGGCCCGGTTGCGGCGGCTCATGCCTGTAATTCCAGCACTTTAGGAGGCCGAGGCGGACAGATCACAAGGTCAAGTGATCAAGACCATCCTGGTCAACACATGGTGAAACCCCATCTCTACTAAAAATACAAAAATTAGCTTGGTGTGGTGGCGTGCGCTTGTAGTCCCAGCTGCTGGGGAGGCTGAGGCAGGAGAATTGCTTGAACCTGGGAGGTACAGATTGCAGTGAGCTGAAATCACCCCACTGCATTCCAGCCTGCCAACAGAGTGAGACTCCATCTCAAAAAAAAAAAAAAAATTCACTATCTGGCTCTTTACAGAAATTTTTCTGACCTTGTTATAGAAAATCCAAATAACTGGTTTAAATAATGCACATACTTTCTCTCTCATAGAGTAGTACAGATGTAGGCAGTCCAGATTAGTACACTGGCTTTATATTCATCAAGGACTCAGTCTCCTTTCTTCTTTAGCTTCTAACGTCTAGGTTACTTCAGGGTCCAGGCTGGAGCCTAGCCTGCATTCTGACAGTAGGAAGGAGTGGGGGAGAAAAAGAACATAGGACATGTCAGCAGAATTCACTCCTTTCTTGGAAGTTCAATACACAGCACATCTCCCTAAAAGTCATTGCCATTACTTATTCTCATAGCCATCCATAAATATAAAGGAGTAAGAAATAGTCTTTTTTGCTGGGAATAAAAATGTTTTTCTGTGAATGAGAAACAAGGGGAAGATGGATATGTCACATTATCTTTTTTTTTTTTTTTT